CAGGTTTAACCTGGGAAGCAGAGAGGACAAAAACAGATTAGGTTCAGGTTCAGGTTTTCTGAAAGTCAGAGATTCAGACAGGCAGGTTGGCTCAGGCTTGCTAACCATAACTGGCAAAACACTCTGGTGTCGGAGTGTAGCTCTCCGCCTCCATATGAACTGGTCTCCTGATGAGCAAACGAGCCGCAGGTGGTGAAGTCAGCTCCAGCTCCAAGAGACCTAGAACGCCCTCTGGTGGAGAAAGGTGGACAGACCTCCAGATCCCAACAACTAGAGGCACATGTCATTATTTTGCAGAAAATAGTTTTCTGTTAAAACAATTTCTAACATATGTGTACTATCTCTATCTAGTTTTAAACTCCTGGCGGATAAAGCAATAGCCCACGTTTTCTTCATCTCATAATACCAACTTACTCACCAAAGAAAGTATTTTGAGCTTTACTCAGCTGCACTTACTTGTGGTCAGTTTACTGCTCTTTAAAATGTAACATTTTATATTTCTGACCAACTTGTCACCAATCAGAGCCCATCATAGCTTAGTATTTCTGATTAAATTCCAGTTTCTTTTTTAACACCATTTCACACACGTCATCTCAAGGCCCTTCCTCATTCAAATCAGACAGATTGGTTGAAAATTTCCTTAGGAAACCCATCTGATTGCATCCAGTCATTGATTTTGCTAAAATTACTTGTGGTAAAACATGAAGCTAAAGTAAGGCTATGTTCACACTTGATGCTCAATTCCGATTTTTTTATGAAATCCGATTTTTTTCACATTTCCAAATACAGTGGGGGAAATTTATTTGACTACTTGCTGATTTTGCAGGTTTGCCCACTTACAAAGAATGCAAAGATCTATAATTTTAATCATATGTACATTCCAACAGTGAGAGACAGAATCCCAAAGAAATTTCCCAGAAATTCACATCATCTGAATTTATTACTTTAAGCTTCTGTTTGCTTTAGGTGTGCAAATAATTTTGAATGGAAATATGAAAAGCAAACATAAGAATTCTTTGGTAAGCTGAGTTAGCTTAGAAATAAAATATATCTGATTCTGATTTCATTTCCAGATTGATGAGGATATGACTGCCAGGATAAGCATGGCAGATGCAAAGTTCTCCTTCCAGTGTCCTGGTCGTATGTACTCACCAGCCTGGATGGCTCCTGAAGGTAGGTATTCACATCTTAAACCTTCTCAAACCACCTCCATTAACATTTTGCATCCTGTGTAATTTTGTTCTGCTGCTGTTTTATTCATGCTGTATATCTGAGGTATAAAGTAAAATTTTTGTGTGTTTTTTTTTTTTTTTCTTTCTGCTGCTTTAAGCCCTGCAGAAAAAGCCAGAGGACATCAACAGAAGATCTGCTGACATGTGGAGCTTTGCAGTGTTACTCTGGGAGCTGGTTACAAGGGAGGTCCCCTTTGCTGATCTGTCAAACATGGAGATAGGAATGAAGGTAACGCGGCACCAAAGCTCCAACTCCACAATTTTTTTACACAGTGCACTGCTAAATTATTCACTCTTATATAATATTGTACCTTATCAGAATATAAACACAATGTACTTTTTTTTCAATTGGAATTTTAAATGAACACAAACTAGGGAACAATTGTGAAGTTGAAATTGAATGCAGAGTATTCAAGATTGTCTACAACTGGAATTCTGATAATTGGTGCAGTCATTGCATTGGTCCTGTCTGAGACAATAGTTTGTAGAGCTGCCTTTCACTGATACGTATGTTTTGAGGTATGTTTCTACAACCTTTGCAAATTAAAAGACTAAAATACATCCCTATTTAGCCAAAAAACGTAATCGGATTAAATAGAGGGATCTACGAAAATCTGTTTTTAAGATTTTTATTGGGACTTAAAGTTTGGCTAAACATATGACCAGGCTTTAATCTAAACTATTCCCTTAGTTGTTCTGGCTGTGTATTATGGTGGACCTCACTGAATGGTGAACCTGCTCCCCTGTCTTGAGTCTTTTGCTACCTTAAACAGGTTTTCTTTTTCAAGTGTCGTGTATTAAGCTTCATCCATCTTTCCATCAATTCCGACTTTCTTCCCTGTTTTCACTGAAAAGAAGCATCTTACGCCATGATGCTTCCCCCTCTGTGTTTGGCTCTACCAAGAATATTGTAACGCTATGTGAAATAATTCCTTGTGGAGTTCAAAATAAATAATAATTGCACTGAATATGGTATTATATTAAGGTATTCAAAGCAGCAGCTAATATTCCTTCTGTTGTTCAGATTGCTCTGGAAGGACTCCGGCCAACCATTCCACCAGGCATCTCTCCTCATATCTGCAAACTGATGAGGCTCTGCATGAACGAAGACCCTGCCAAGAGGCCAAAGTTTGACATGATTGTTCCCATCTTGGAAAAGATGCAAGACAAGTGAATGTCTCAGAGACAATATGTCCAAAACCTTTGTTTTTGTTATATAATCCAACCACTCCATAGCTTCACTCAAGCAAATGTATCTGCTAGGCCACTGTAAATAAAGCCACAAACCACTGTATCTGCATCTAGTTTGATCATCACTATCCTTAATTTGTTCAGGTTCAATTTATGTTTTAAGTTTTACTTTGATATATATTTTTTGCGCAACGGTTTTCAAAACATTGTCTGCGATCTGGATTACATTTAAGTGATTCATAAGACAGAAGCTCATCCAAAGAATGTTTATAGAATCCTAGCTTTTTATACACGCCTGTCATAGCAGATTAAATACAACTTTATATTTATGACAAATGCTTTTTCTAATGTATTATCTTCCAAGTTTTGAAGCACTTGGAGAATAAATTATTCTCACTTGCTCTTACGGTATGTTGCAGTGGCCTTATGTTTTCAGGCTGCGTTCAATTTGTGGAGCTGATGTGTCTTTTTGCTAAATTGTCAGGTATTCTGTGAAAACATACTGTTACAGATAGGAAAGAATGTATGAAGCACTTCTACTCTACCAGGTTATTTTTTATTTCTGTTTTGGAACAATAAAATTGAATAAATGTTTTCAAGAAGAGTAACATTATATGAAATATTCTTACAACATAAAAAGACAACTAGAATGAAACTAATTAAAATAATACCTATTTTTATTTGTGTATGACAAATTTGCCAAATAAAATTGCCGTTAATTATTAATTCACACTTTTGTATATTGATTATTTTATGTCCTCAATTTCTTCCATCTGTCATTTTATTCTCTTTCTCCAACAACCTCGATCCAAATGATTGCATTGGCATCGAGTACTGTAGAGTACTGTTAATCCTTCATTTCGTTATGAAAGAAGAGTGTGGCATTGGGGAAACGCAGGGCAATGCGTCCTGAGGATCAGGGTTAGGATACTCTGTACTTTTAACTGTTAAACTTGAAGCTGCAGGGCACCATAAACGTATCTGTCTACCACCAACATGTTTGATTATAGGCGTAATCTTTCTTTTATTTATTTCTTTTATTTATTTCTTTTTTTGCATATTTTCAGTTTAACTTTTGGTTTATAAATAAAGTCATCAAGAGTTTTTTTTTTTTTTTTTTTACCAATTTACAATTTAGCATTAGCTTTTGTTTTCTACTTCTAAGTCCTTGAAATCCTATACAGGGATGGTTACTTATCCCTGTATGCTATCAATGCAGGAGGATGCTCTGAAGTTTTAAATGATAAAGAATAGCTTAGCTATTAGTCTGGCATTAATCAGGTGTAACTAGACAGTGGCGGTACAAGAAATGTTCCATATTGGTGACATTGTGCACTGAGGGGTGGCTGAAAACAGGCACCGAAACCAGTTCAGGGTCAATATATACTAATCAGAATGAAAAAAAAAAAAACAGAAAACTGAGCACCAACAATATCTATATTTTCTAAGTAAATCACTGAAGACAGTCCAGGTTTTCATGAGTCCCTAGCTAATAAAGCATTGGTGCTGTTGAAAAACTAACTGCATAATATATACATTAAATGGGTCGGGCAGTTCTTTGTCTTTAATTACAAACTCTTGTTTTTTTTTCGAGACAAACTACCCCATAAAACATAAAAGCAAAAACTGTTAGCCCTCTTTAATTGTAGTATATTGGTGTGAATAATTAGTTGCTGTGTTTTTGTTGTCAGTGTTTCTCTAATGTGCTAAAAAATGTCAAAATACGACATTCCACATCATGTAATGACTGCTGCCACCTTCTGGTGTAGAACGGCTCTCAATAATCCTTATATATATTAACACACACACACACACACACACACATATATATATTATATATATATATATATATATATATATATATATATATATATATGATTCAACTATATAACTATATATATAGTTATATATATAGTTATACTGTATATACTTATATATACTTATATAGTTATATAGTTATACTGATTTTTTAAATTTTTTTTATCTGCATTGCAGATCATTGTTACTTATCAGAATTCTCAATTTCATGCTTTGTGGTAAAGCGGCATGCCATTGAGGTATTTACTGATATCATGCAGATTTTCTCTTTGCTTTTGTTTTCCTCCTCACCTTTGTCTGTTTGGACAAAGCAAAAATCTATTTTCATATAAGGTGAATAGCACAGAGTCAGAATTCAACTTTATTGTCATTACACTGTCACAAGTAGAAAGCAAGGAAATATAGGGAAGAGACTAAACATAAATTAAAAGAGATATAATAGAATAAAATATAAAAGTTAAAATATACATACATATATAAACAGTTGTGCTTGAAAGTTTACGTACATACCCTTTCCATTAAGGACAAAAAGAGGTAAACTAAAATGGAATTGACAAATAAAAATAATAAAAAATGGAAATTATGATATTGATTTTGGATAGTTGCAACAACATATATGATATCAATATATTAATCTGAATACATACATACATTTATTAAAAATCAACATCATTATTTCAATTTTTTTACTATTTTTATTTGGCAGTTTCATTTGATTTGTCTTTAATGGAAAGGGTATGTACACTTTAAAGCACAACTGTATAGACATGTATGTGTATTTTAACTATTATATTTTGCTGCAAATATCTTTATTACCTAATGCCTAAAATCCTGATTATTATTGTTTAATCACTTCATCTTATACTGATATTGATATTTGCTTTGTCCAAACATTCAAGTGTGAGGAGAGAAAAAAGCAAAGAGGAGGAAATCTGCAAGGGTATCAGTAAATACCTCAATGGCATGCCGCTTTACCACAAAACATGAAAGCAAGAAGTCTTACAAGTAACTATGGGCTGCAGTGCAGATAAAAAAAAAAACACCTTTAAAAAAAGTCAACTTCTCAGATACCCACAATGTTCTTTCTCTAAAATATGTAGCGATTGATTTTGAGCTATTTGAATATGAATAGAAAGAAAGCTGCACGTTTAAAACATTTTCCTAAAGCAGGAACAAAAGGATTATGGATATCTGCCACATAGCCCATTCAATAAAAGTTTGCATGTCTCACAAGTTATTATCAAGCTGTTATTTTTTATCTAAAAATTAACATATTATAAGAGAGTGCTCTGATACTGTTGACCTGCTGTTTGATGGGATTCAGTTTTCTTAGTATGTGGTTCTGGTTTTCTCATTATCTCACTATTGCTTTAGCACGGGCGGAGCCAGATGGGGGGCCAGGGGTGGTCATGGCAACCCTTAACCAATCATTGGCCACCCCTGTGGCCACCCCTACCATTCTTTTCCCCCTAATAATCAAGTGGAATATTCAAAACATTTAAATTTTTCATATATAACTTACTATTTTTTCATTTATTCATAATTACTTGATAAGAAAAACACTGTGGTTAAGTATGCACATCAATATACTAACATTAAAGATGGTAAGTACAGAATTCCTGCTCTTTTCAGAACTATATTTTGTGTTTTATGGGGTAAAGAGAAAATGATGTGTCTGCATTCATTTGGAGTCTTTAGTAAAATCATAGATAAATAACTAATTTAATAAGAAAGATTAATCAATAATATGTAGATATTAGTACTTGTAAATATCAATTTTATGCAGAATGTTTATTGATAAAAGTAGGTAAGTAATGACTATGGAAAAGATGTTTGCCCCAGAACTCAAACCTGAAAGAATTGTATCCACTTTACATTTTATCTTAAAAGTGTGGATGTTTAAATATTCAGTTTTCAATTCAGTTTATTTCTATAGCGCCAATTCACAAAACATGTAATCTCAAGGCACTTTACAGTTCAACCAGATCATACAGTCTAATTGATTCAAAGTTTTCTATCTAAGGAAAACCAGTTGATTGCATCGACTCATTGACTCGAATGCAATCCCTCACACTAAGCATGCTTGTAGTGACAGTGGAGAGAAAAAAAACTCCCTTTTAACAGGAAGAAGCCTCCAGCAGAACCAGGCTCAGTGTGACGGGCCATCTGCTGAAGCCGACTGGGGTTCAAGGACACAGAAGCACACAGAAACACACAGCCAGGCATACGAGCTACGAGCCAACTCCCATGTCAGAGGATGAAGAGAGCACATCCAGCCAGTCACAGTCAGAGAAACAGGACTACAATGAAAAACAGGCCGATTTCCAACATCTATAAACAAAGGTGTTGATGGCAGAAGCACAGCTGATATTTCTCTCCAGGATGGAGTCACAGCCAAACAGGAACAGATGAGGCGAAGCTACTATGAGAAAAAGCAGATGTTTGCAGATTCTGCAGAGTGGGGGAATAGAGATAGAATTAAGCAAAATGATGAAATGGGGGTCCCTATGTCCTCCAGACATCTAAGCCTATAGCAGGATCTATTTGTTAGCAAAGTGTGTAGGAAAGTATAATTTGTCTTTATTTAGAAAATATCCTATCCATTTTCGGCCACCCCTCATTGCACACTGTTTTTTGCCCGGTTACCCCCATAAAAATGTCCTAGCGACGCCTCTATGCTTTAGAAAACTGTAAACAAAAGGAAAAACAATGTCACGTGAAGAATCAGCTGACTATCAGTTGATCACGTGACGGCGGGGGGGCAGCCACAGCCTAGAGGAGACGCATCTGAACAATCAGAGCTGATCATGTATGATCTACTGTCCTGATCGGGTTCTGCTCGGCTTCTCCCGTGGACGTGGAAGTGAGTTTTGTTCACCACACCGTGGGAAGGAGGTCTGCCCTTTTCTTTTGTTTAGAGGTACAGTTTACGATGGTAGGCTAATTTGTTAGCTGACAGGAGGCTGTGAAGTTTCTTTTTGCGGTTGTGAATGACTCATTGCCTATTTATTTTAGCACATGTGAATGGCTGTCAGTTAAGCAGAGAGTGGTGTGACTTCCTTGAAGCAGCTCGGTATATTTTTCCCCTATATGGTTGCTTCCTTCTCGTCAAACAGAAACGCGATGAGCCCCTCAGCTCTGCGCCCCTTCCTGGGGCTGATCACCTTCACTTTGCTCCTGGTGTTTGGATCCTGTCATCCGGCGCAGCATCCAGCTCAGACCAGGACTCCGTTCAGACAGCAGCTGGACAGCTTCAGGTTCCCCTGGAGAAACATCACCTGTCCGGTTTGCAAAGCGCTCTTCGCCATTCTGGATGTCGCCCTTCTGGTAAATCTCATATTCTTGCAGCAGAGATCAAAGGCAACACTTCAATAGAGAATTTGCTGCACACACATACTGGTACAAACCAACATTTAGATAATTTACCAAGGTTCATAATATATGATGTTTAAAATGAGATGAAATCTTTGTTAAAAATGCAAGGAAGCAAATTGAAAACCTCTTTATAAACCAATAAATAACTGGTAATAAAGTGCGCTTACACAACAAAGGTAAAGTCCAGTGATCACATATCCTGCTTGAGGCTTAAGCAAACTTTGCAGCTGCATTGGGGCCCCAGCTTGCCTGTAAGACCCAATAAATCAATTTTCATAAAAGTCCCACATCTTCCACTTCAGTTAAATCCTATTTCTATCTCATGTCTTTGTATTCCAATTTATCTGATCCCTCTTTTAGAAAACAATAGGACCCCAGATGTAACCAGAACAACTGTAAGCGATTAAGAACCACATTTCAATACAGGATGATATCAATAGAATACATTTTTAGTGCAAAATGCTCCATAGCAGATGATTCTTTGGACTGTAACAACAGAGTCACATGCTCAATGTAAACTGTGAGTAGATC